CTGTTGCTGCTGCTGCTGCTGCTGCTGTTGCTGGCTGCAGAGGACCTGGTGGTGTTGCTCCTTAGTGCTGCAGCGGTGCTCTCGGGAAAGACAGGCAGCAGCTTTGTTTGGTTTGTGCTGCTGGAGGCTGCAGCAGCAGCAGCAGCTGCTCCCTGCTGCTGCTGTTGCTGCTGCTGCTGCTGCTGCTGCTGCTGGCCCAAGCCAGCTAAGAAGAGCGCCACCTTGCTTCTCCTCGCCACCTCAAAGGGGGTGTCTAACTCACTCAGCAGCAGCGGCCCCTTGCTGCCCAGCTGCTTCCTCGATTGCTGCTGCTGCTGCTGCTGCTGCTGTTGCTGTTGCTGCTGCTGCATCTGAAGGCTGCTGTGCAGGCCTGCAGGCGCAGCCTCAGCAGCAGCAGCAAACTGCTCCTTCTCCTGCTGCTGCTGCTGCTGCTGCTGCTGCTGCTGACTCTGCCGAGCAAGGAGTGATGCTGGCTCCTCTCCAGTTGAGCTGCTGCTGCTGTTGATGGGAGCTGCTGCAGCAGCAGCAAGCCGCATCGCCAGCGAATCGAACCCAGCAATGCTGCTGCTGCTGCTGCTGCAACTGCTGCTGCTGCTGCTGCTGCAACTGCTGCTGCTGCTGCTGCTCGGGTTGCTGCTCCTGCGGTGAAGCACGAGAGAGCTGCTGCTCTCTAAGGAAGAAAGAGAAGGCCTAGCGAATGGTGAGGAGGCGGGGGCAGCAGCAGTTGCTGCTGCTGCAATGCTGCTGCTTATGCTGCATCCTGCTGCTGCTGCTGCTGCTGCAGCTTCGGGTGCTGCTGCTGCTGCTGCTGTTGTAGCCGCAAAAGGGCTCCGCGCCGGCAGCCCGGGGGCGAGGAGCCGCTGCGGCTGCAGCACCATGTTTGCTGCCAGGTGCGCTGCTGCTGCTGCTGCTGCTGCTGCTCCTGCTGCTGCTGCTGCTCCTGCTGCTGCTGCTGCTGCAGAAGCTGCTGTATGCAGCTGCCGTTGTAGACCGGCTGCTGCTGCAGGGCTGGGGTGTACGTACAGCCTGCAGTGGAGTCGCCATCGACAGCTGCTGCTGCTGCTGCTGCTGCTGCTGCAGCTGCTGCCGCTGAAGGCGCTGCAGCTGCTGCCTTATAACAAACAAAACACAAAAATTTAATAATTATAAATTATCTATCGACGCGGGGGCCCTGCTGCATTAGGGGCTGCCACGGTAGCAGCCGCTGCAGGCCGGTGGGGTCTGTGTTACTGCAGCAACTGGCTGCTGCAGCAGCAGCAGCAGCAGCAGCAACTACTGCTGCTGCCGCTGCTGCTGCTGTTGCTGCTAATAAACCTGCTGCTGTTTGTTTCTAGTGTTGAGAGGCAGCCTTGTTGTGAGCAGCAGCTGCTGCAGCGATAGCAGCATCTGCTGCTGCTGCCTGTTGCTGCTAGCAGCAGCAGGAGTACCAGGCAGCAGCAGCAGCAGCAGCGGCAACAGCAGGCCGTGCTGCAGCTGTTTTCTCTTTCTCTTCTTTGTTATGAATTTATTTAAACAGGTAATAATAATATTTGAGGTGTATACGCAGATCCCTCACTCTTGCTGCTGCTGCTGCTGCTGCTGCTGCTTGCTAGACAGCAGCAAGACAGCTACGCAGCAGCAGCAGCAGCAGCAGCAGCGCAGCAGCACGCTCGCTGTTTTTGTGTTTTTTATAAATTTTAATTGAGGACAGTAGAAGCAGCAAAGGAGACACACAGAAACTGCACGTACACCCCAACAGACATATGTCTACAGTAGCTACTACGCGCTGCAGCAGCAGCAGCAGCAGCAGCAGCAACAGCAGCAGCAAACACTCAACTAGCAGCAGCAACTACAGCACATCAAAAGCAGCAGCAGCAACAACAACAGCAGCAGCAACAGCAGCAGCAGCACATGCTTCTGCTGCCAGCTGAACACTCCTCCGTCTCTGTCTCCTCACAGCTTGCTGCTGCCTATACACCCCAATCCTCTGCATATCTGCGCTCTTTCTGTTTACTCCTGGTGCTTGCTGCTGCTGCATTGCTGCTGCGCTGCTGCTGCTGCTGCTGCTGCTTGGAGGAGTCTCTGGCGGCTTTGGAGCGGTGCTACGGGCCCAGCCTCCTCTCTACTAATCCCCAGCTACTTAGCTAGCTAGCTAGCTAGCTAGCTAGCTGGCTGGCTATCTATATATCTATCTAGCTATCTAGCTAGCTAGCTAGCTAGATAGATAGATAGCTAGCTAGCTTGCTATTCATTTACCAGCTAGCTACCTACGTAGCTGCTTAGCTAGCTAGCTAGGTACTTCGCCAGCTAGCTACCTAAACAGCTAGTCAGCTAGCTGGCTGGCTGACCGGCTGGCTAGCTAGCTAGCTGTCTGGCTAGCTAGCTAGCTAGCTGTCTGGCTGGCTAGCTAGCTAGCTGGCTGGCTAGCTAGCTAGCTGGTGCAGTAGGTGTTTAGCTAGCTCAGAAAGCTGCGAGTGCCAAGGCAAATTCTGTAGATAGAAGGAAATGAGTGGTGTTTCTGCTGCTGCGGTGCAGCAGCTGTTGCTGCTGCGTTGCTGCTGCGCTGCAGCAACGACAGCAGCAGCATGAATAGGTGTACGTACACCGCAGCATCCAGCAGCAGCAGCAGNTGCGCTGCAGCAACGACAGCAGCAGCATGAATAGGTGTACGTACACCGCAGCATCCAGCAGCAGCAGCAGATGAATACTGAGGTGTCTGTACACCCGAAAACAAAATACAGACGAACAACCCTCTCATAGCTCCTCCCCCTTCTTTGCCGCTGCTTGCTGCTGCTGCTGCTGTTGCTGCTGCTGCTGCTGCTGCTCCTGCTGCTGCTGCTGCTGCTGTTGCGCGTCGTCTCCCCCTTCTACTTCTGCTGGCACTGTGTAGTTTCCCGCATGGAACGCGTCGATGTCCTTCTGGA